TCGTTCCCCACTTCAGGCATATTTTCTCCTCAACCATACATGTGTACTTTCAGGGACAGCCACAAAGAGATGTTTCTTCATTGTCTTGAAACTGGCCTTAGTTTTACATCCAGAGGTTATGAATATTGCAAGTTACTCTTCCAGCTTAGTTGCCTTTTTCACCTCTGTCAAAACAGAACTTTGTGGTGGTGGGAAACTCAATTCTGGGGGCTGAATGGTGGTGGGGCTTCTCCCTGCTTCAAATACCAAGGCTTTTTGCCTGGCTGGATGATACCCTTGAACTCTGATTATGCCCTTTGCTTGTCTGGATGGAGGATAGACAGAGGAGCAGGACCATGTGTACTAAATCACTGTACATTTGCATGTTTTGCTCCACCTACTTTTGCCCCTGGCCCCACCTACCACGACCAGGTGTTCCTCAGAAGTTTGCCCAGAAGAAAAAACAGCCCTAAGACTGAAAAAAGCTTCTCACCCCAATACACAGTAAAAACAGCCGCCATGAGCTTCAAGACATTTCAAATGAGCCTTTTTGCATATTAAACAGGCAAGAGAGGTGGCTCCTCACAAATAAAATCCCATTTAAATTATATGCTAGCAAGGAGGACCCCAATTAGGCTGGTCTCTTATTCATTTGGTACTCTACTTAACAAAATCAGCTCCCCAACCATCTCTGATCGTTATAAACCATGTGCTTCGCATTATATTTAAACTTTACAAGGCTGCTAATTTATCTGTGCTAACTGGAGTGCCGCACTGTTCCTGTTCCTTGGCAATAACTGTGTTGCCTTCCTGGGATAAAATAAAACCGCCTGGTTTATCCACTCAGAACTTATTGGCTTGTAAAAGAAGGCAGCCTCCTTTCCTCGCTTCAGCGTTGCAGGCTTTGTTATTTGTCATGCTAATGAGTCAATTAAACAATTGTTTGAAATTTGGAGGAGGGAAGAAGCTGGTTCTTCAAGGTAATGAAGATCCTTAAACTTCACTGGCATGAAAAGGATGCGAGAGCTATGTAGAATCAGGCTTGAATCAGCTTTCACTCATCAGCTGGTGCCACAGCTTCAGAAATGAGCGGTGAACACAATGGCTAGTATATTGTGTTTTGCAAGTTTAGAGTCAGGAAGATGAGTGTTTAGAGCCAGTGTAGGGTAATGGCTAAAGAAATGGAACAGGGAGATCTGGGTTCAAACACCTTCTCCACCATAGCTGTCAGTGTTCTCTTTTTTTGAGGGAAATTCCCTTATTCCAAATAGGATTCCTCGCAAGAAAAGGGAAAAGTTGACAGCTATGTTCTCTACCATGAAACTCACGAAACCTTACCTATTGTTGTCCAGTTTAATCTTCATTATAGAGTAGTGTGCTTCCCTGAACACCTTGGAGGAAGGGGAATGTATAAATGTAGTAAATAAGGAAAAAATGTTACAGATGCTGCTAGTCAGCCATTTGCCCTTTGAATGTACCTAGTACACCAGCACATAATATGTCATCTGTTTTACACTTTAGATCTCACATACAAAATGCTATCTCTACATGTGTTTGTGAGATAAAACAATAGTTTCTTAAGTAACTCCAGAAGAGCAAAACAACTTTCTGTTCCATTGCTAGATATAACGATTGACTTCTCCATGAACTTGCAGTTCATGTTTTATATTGTATCATTTCACATGGCTTTCCAATTGGATCGCATCCCCATTGTTCCTTATATTCATTCTCTCTTTCTTTGGAGAAAGTATCTCTGATGGGCAAAGCTATTATTAAACAATGCAGCAGAACTGGGATGCTATATGCATAAAAGGCACTGTATTGCACGACAATCCAGCCAGATTATACTCTTTTTACATTCACTAATGCAATTGCCCAGTGGATATCAGTATCTTATCTTATTTAAGTACCCTTATTCCTCTACACTTTGAAATATACACCCAGAAATACTTTTGTTTGTGCTGAAATGTTTGATCTTCACTATCTGTCATTAGTGTCTTAAACAAGCCTCAAAGAAGCATCTAAGCTTTTGGCTCAAGTAGCAACAGTGACCTCTAGTGTGTGTTTTTAATTTCTTCCCTTTCTTTTCAATCCATTGTTCCCACAACCTTTAGGGCAGTATTTGATCACAGTTTTTCTTTCCCCTTTTTCTGACGGTGTGGACTAATTTTCATACTGAGAGTCATCTATAGTAGAAAATGAATCTCAGTTGATCTTCCTTTCTTTCCCTGTATGCAATGAGACGAAATCGAGAATTCAAACATAGGGAAAGTTAAAAACACATAGGAACGAACCTAGCTTTATTTTATTTTATAAAATGAAAATTGCCCTTCTGCTAAACATTTCATCCACCTTGCAGCAATTTATGTCTTGATCCCAGACGGCATCATTTGGCAATTCTTGCCAGATGTAACTTCTGATTTCTCTGTTCTTCAAACATCATTGGCTCTGCCATACACAGCAAGCCCTACCATAGAGGAATGTTGCAAGAAAATTCAAAAATTCATATGTAGGTGCCTTTAAGCTGTTGTCAGTGTGCATTTGCAGCAATTCGGAAAGTGAAGAGATTGTCTGTAGATTGCACTGTAACCAAGCACAAATTCCTTCTGGTTGCACTGATATTTTATATGTGAGGCAAACAGTCGTTAATATAAAAAGAAACAGATAAAACTGTTTAAAGATGCTAAACTTCAAGGCGCGTAAGTAAATGTTTCAGTGATGTAATCATGCTTTCCTCCTGCAGAACTCGTGGGAGTCTGAATTGTCCATTCAACCAGCCTTCCTACATTTGCAGATGGCAAGTGTAAGGAGTATTGAACACATTATAAATTTTGTACAGGGAAAAGCACTTCAGCCTAGGAAATTGTGTGCAACCTATGTGTAAGATCATCCTGTGATTACTTGTATTGATTGCATTTTATTTTATTTTTATGTTGTAAAACTGCCCTGAGTGGGAATGGGGAGGGGAGTTACTGAAAAGCCAAGATATACAATTTAAAACCAAATAAAAACAAACAAACAAACATATGTGTTACAATTATAAGGTCATACTCGGAGCAAATGCATTGAAATTAATGGAAATGACTGACTGAGTAATTTCAATGGCTCTACTCTGAATAGAATTTGGTTGGATACAACCCATAGATTTTTGAGTAAATAACAAAATAGGCAGACACATTTGTAACTGTACTACTAAAGACAGTCTACACATGCAGCAAAATGGAGGGAGAATGGTCAATTCACACCACAGTTAGACAATTCCAGGTTTGAATGTTCCCCCAGGAAAATACCCTGTAAGAAGAAACCTAGTGTATCAGGAAGAAAAGCTCTCACCCAGCCGTCTTCCCTCCTGTGCTTGTTTTCTTTTTGCAGTAGAAAGGTTTTCTGTGTTTTTGTTTTACATGAGGGGAGCATTTGGTATTTTGCCTGCAGTGTGAATTAATACAGCCCATTATATCACCTCCAGTTACTTGGCACAGCTGTGGCAAAGGGAAGAACCCTCTTCTAGTCTTGCCACCTCATTTCACTGCTGACTCATTACAACAGGGGAAATTCTGCTGCTGCCGAACCTGCTTCGCCAACCCTAATTTGTGTTGCTTGGCTCTCTGAGCACCCGGCTTGGACCGGTTCAGTGCTATCAAGAGCCATATTTGTATAACTGGTAGCAACACCAAGGTTGCAAAAGATTCCTCACTACAAATACCACGAGGATGTGCCTGGGAAACGGCTGGGAGGGGGTTGGGAATGAGTGGTGGTTATACATCCTTTTTGCAAGCCTGCAAGGCAAGAGACAAAAGGTAGCATTGGAAAGTTTCCAAAAAGTTTTTTTTGGGGGGGGGGCATAGCTATCAACCGTCCCTTATTTGGCAGGAAAGTCCCTTATCCCAGCGCTGTGTCCCGCTGCTGTCCCTTATTGATGATGTCCCTTAAATTTCCCGGGTTTCAAAGGAAGCAGCTCCTCTCCCTCCCTCCCCAATAAGGAGTCTAAGAATGACTGGGGGGTGGAGCTTGCACGCCTTGTGCCGATCAAATTGGTCACATTGCCTGGGGACTCGCCTTTGCTCAGCGCTTCCCAGCGGAGAGGTGACAGTGGTTTTCCTTGCTGCATCCCCTTCGCCAGGTTGCTGCGCTGTGGGAACCACCGCTTGAGGCTTTGTTTGGCTGCTGGCTGGGCTTTCTGCCTTTGGCTCGGAGGGGCTCAGAAGTTGAACCTACCTGTGCTCTGAAAATCCCATATTTTGGCTGCTGATCCCTTATTTTAGAGGCTGATGGTCCCTTATTTTCAAATCTGTAAGTTGACAGCTATGGGGGGGAGGTCAGTCTCCACCATAGCTGTCAACGTTTCCCTTTTTTTTAAGGGAAATTCCCTTATTCCGAATAGGATTCCTCGCAAGAAAAGGGAAAAGTTGACAGCTATGGTCTCCATGGTAGAGGTAGTTTTGCACCACTGTTTGGATACTTGTCCATTCAAAGTTCAAGTATGTTGCAAAATTTTGTTTGTTTCTTTGTTTTTGCTTTGCTGCCTTTTTAAAAAATGACTAGACAACCAGTGAAGTGGAATGTTGGAAGATTCAGGACAGAAAAAAAGCAAAGTACCTCTTCGCAGAGTGCAGAATAAAACTATGCAGTCTGCTCCCTCAAGTTGTAATGGTGGTCACCAACTTGGATGGCTTTAGAAGGGGGATTAGACTAATGTTTGATATCTTCATGAAGGACAGGGCTATAAATGGCGCCTAGCCATGAGGGGTATGTTCTACTTCCACTTTCAGAGCCAGTGTGCCTTTGAATCCCAGTTGTCTTCGAGCCTCTCTCACAGTATTTGTGGTACATTCGTACCTCAGAAGTTGAGCAGAATCCGTTCCGGAAGTCCGTTTGAGTTCCTAACGTTCAAAAATCAAAACGTGGCTTCTGATTGGCTGCAGGAAGCTCCTGCAGCCAATCAGAAGCTGCAGAAGCCCCATCGGACATTCAGCTTCCAAAAGAACGTTTGAAAACCAGAACATTCACTTCCAGTTTTTGATTGTTCGGGAGCCAGAACATTCGACTCCCAAGGCCAAGGTACAACTGTACTGAATAAAGGAGGCAAAGCAGAAGAGAGACACTGGCCATAGGAATCTGCCACCTGTGTCAATGTATTCTCATTACGAACCAGATTGGAACAAGAAGTACATCCATTAGGTAGGTAGGTAGGTAGGTAGGTAAGTGAACAATTGAACGAACGAATGAATGAAAGGTTTTCCAAATCGGGAAAGGTTAGGAGACCCAGGGCCTGCCACAGAAGACCTAGGACCCTGGCCCTGTTTTTCAGCAGTTCTCCATGATCTCAGGCAATAGGTCTATCCCAGGCCTACTAAGTCACTAGTGGAGAACTGCATCCAGGATCTCTTGCGTGATAAGGCTGCACCCTCTCCCTGAGTTGCAGCTCCTGCTTTCCGGGAAGAAAAGACTAGGGGTGTGAAAATGCTTTGAGGTGTGTGGCCTCTGCTTGTTTGCATTTCTGTGCATCACTGGTGTCAAAAGGACGATCTCAATCGAGAGGGTTTCCTTGACTCAGTGTTTTCAGCGACCTGCCTCTCAGCTGAACTACAACCTGGCTTTGTCAATGAACGGCGCCCCATTCAACAAATGTCAATGCTTTCCCTAATAGCAAGGCACCCACCTAACCCCCTCCTTGCCAGGTCTGTAAACAGCATAAATTAGTAATCAAAAAAGATACTGCCTCCTGAATATTTTATGGCAGTGCGAATGAAAGGGAAATGTGCAGACCGAAGGCTTGATGATGCAAACATATTTGTCAAGCTTTTCTTTGTTTAAGCAGAAGAGCGAAAGTGCTGGAGGCTGGTCCCTCCCATCCCCTGCTCATTGGGAGATAATTATAATCTTAGCAAGCTGGCTGTCTCGGAGCTATTCTTGGGGGGGGGGGGAGTTGCTTGCACAAGGCACCAGCGGTGCCTCAATTATCTGAGCAATCCCTCTTATTATATCTTCTTCAAATACCCACTTAGTAGAAAGTTATATGAAGAGAGCTGTATCTCCCCACCCTCCAAAAATAAAATTCCCCGGAAGATGGATTCGTTTCTGCAAAATAAGTCTGAAATTTCCACTCAATGGTTCCAGTTGGGCAGGATTTGCACAGGATTCCCACTGTGAGAACAGGATGCTGGACCTACTGTACAAAGTTGGTTACATTGCTCTGCCCGTTTTTTGCATCTGACCTCATTCTCCATTGGCACGTGGCCGTGGAAGGTTGTCCAAAAGGGAATAAGGCTGGAAATGGTTCCTCATCCCTGCCTCTGAAGCTCCAACCGTTACTTAGGAATAGAGGTGTACCTAGGCAAGGAAATGTATCAGTGCCTCCAAAGCTGGCAGAGACCACAGACCAGAAACTCAAAAAGTTTGCTTTTCTTCACCTTTCACACTCCGCCAGTGACTTCTTCCACGGCCTTTGGAGTTGGGCCTGCTCTTTTCCACCTCTCCTCCTCCTCCTCCCCTGTCAGTCCATCTCCCTCCCTCCATTCACTGTTTTCTCTTCTGCCTCCTCCCTCCCTTTCCCCTCCTCTTGCAACTCTCATCCGCTCTCTCCATCATTCTTCCCTCTGAGCCCCACTCAGCGATCTGCTCACACTTCTAATAGTGCCACCAGCCAGCTGGGGAGGGGCCCCCACAGGGCTGCTGTGACAGTCCACACCAGCGACTGGATTCCTCTGCCAAGCCACCCAGGTGAACCTGAATATCTCACCTGGCCACCCAGAGCAATGGAGGAGCAGCCCAGAGAGTAATGGATGGGTTAGCAGGCTCCTAGCAACTCCGAGCCATAGTGGAGAGATGAAATTTAGACACTCCTCTGGGTCTGTGCTCTTGGTGAGGACTAAGATGGCCAACCCCTAGGTACACACTTGCTTGAGAATAAATCCCAGTGAGAGCTTTCATCTGCACAGCTATGCAGAGGATTGCACTGTGAGTAGTAAGTTCATGCCCAGATTCCATTGCCTTTGAGTAAACGCATGCCTAAATTGAGGGGACACTACACGACAGTTTCATGGAAAACAAATTAAGGTTCACCACCACTGACCACCAATGCAAATATATTGTAAGGTCTGAAAAGGAAAGTTCAGCGAAGAATGGAAAGACCAGGAAACTGAACTAACAGAAGTGATTTTTTTTGTTTTCATGATTCTTTGGAAAACAAGGAGCCCTGGAGAACTGGACATTTAAATAGTTAACCAATAGTTATGGCCCAGCTGCAGCCAATCATTGTTAAGCAAAGTACTTGAAACATGCCCTCACGCCGCATTGACTTCAGTGGGATTTGAGACTTTGCTTAAGTGCATTCCAGAACAGAGGCCCACAATGGGAGAAACCAAAAGCCAAAGGCCTTGAGATCTGATACTTCCTCTCCAGCCGTAATAAAACCAGAATATAAACTATCCAAATAAGTGCCTTGCCTCATATTTTTTCACACCTCTATTACTCTTGTTTTATTGCACTCTGCCCATCTTTCGTCTCTCCCCCCCTCCTTCAATTATCTTCTATGAACTATGCAGTAGTGTCCCAGAGTATTATTGCCTCATCCAGCCACTCACTGACATCATTAGCTGGACAGACACAAAACAGAGACCTTCCTGGAAAATGAAGGACTTGGGAAGGAACCTCTGCAATGCACAGAATCTCTCCCATCCTACCTGACCCTCTTGCACAGTGATCACATTCTGTTGTTCCTGTTCAAGAGGTTAGGTTCAAACAGCAGCCTGTGAAGCAATGAAAATACTCTGATTCAGCCATTTAGAACCCAGAAGCTCACAGAGAAGGAGATAAAAGTGTTACACAACTTTTACTAAGAACATTGGACATAATTGTATTAAATACATTCCTTTCCAAAACTTTGAGATGATGCTTGAAAAGTTTCCCACAAGTACTTAGAATCTGGGTCTAAATCAAAGCCACAAGTTGGTTGGAAACAGATATAGATACACAACAGTGATTGTGGTACAGTGGTACCTCGGGTTAAGTACTTAATTCGTTCTGGAGGTCCGTACTTAACCTGAAACTGTTCTTAACCTGAAGCACCACTTTAGCTAATGGGGCCTCCCGCTGCTGCCATGCCACCAGAGCACAATTTCTGTTCTCATCCTGAAGCAAAGTTCTTAACCTGAAGCACTATTTCTGGGTTAGCGGAGTCTGTAACCTGAAGTGTATGTAACCTGAAGCGTATGTAACTCAAGGTACCACTGTATTCCTTGGTTGGGGCCAATGTGGGCAGAAATAAAGGACTAGACAAATTATTGCACCCCAGGCTCCTATTCGTGGGGGGTGGGGGATGTGTATTTTCAGTGTCCAAAACCTAAAACAATGGCCAATGTATTTACTTTTGGTTTTGAATTCTCAGATGCTATAAATGCCAATACTATTCTGCTGGCACTTCAGTGTGGTAGATCATGGTTTATCAAGGATATTCTGAATCCTTGTGTGGCTCTGTTGTTTTCCTATCTATCTGCTGGTAGCTTTCCTTGAGATGAATTGTTGCTCTGTTGGATCCCTTTGGACTTTAGGATAGCCAAAATAAACAGAAATGTCATGCTCTTTAGTGCCTTGACACATCCACATACCAGCCCAGCCCTGGTTCAGAATTCCCCGTAAGGTTTAATTAAACATAAAGTGTGGTGGTAGCCCACTACGCTTTACTCCAAGTAGACCCATCAAAATGAATGAACATGGCTAAATTAGGCCCATTCATCCCAGTGTTTCCAGTTGCAATGCCACCCGCCGCATATTTTTGTGCAAAATAAAATATGCCAAGAGGGAGCGTTTTTTTGCCAAGGAGTTGTGTTGAAGGTTTCTGTACTCCCACTCAGAGATTATATATTGCGTATACGTGTCACGTATAGCTGTAGTATTTGCTAACCTGCCTGGAGCAGTGATATGCCACCAAACTGTCATCCCACTCTAATAGGCTAATCCCATCTTTGTGAACTAGGCTGGTCTTCAGATGCATATACATCAACTGATTACTCAGGATTGATGACTTGCACTGCGCTCTGTTTGTGACACCTGCTATAGTCATCAGATGATGGACATGTGTGGACTAACTCTTACCCATAGCCCTGTAGGCGCATATAACACTGGTGAAATCCGAATGCTGGATGTTTCCTGGAAAGAGGCACATATGCAACAGGCCTTGAGTTGCCTCAAATCTTTTCCAGCTATACTTATCATCCCTGACTCCATGACGCTCCTTTCCTTTGGATTAACCCCGCCATGTAAAGGCCCAAGCAACACAGGTGGACCTATATTCCTCTGCTCCACCTTCTTGTAGATGCAACCAGCATGGCCACATTAAGCTCCCACTGGTATGGAAATTGGAGTGAAGGGGTGCAATATCAGGGGTATAAAGGGGCTGCAGAACAGAAGAGAGGGGCAGTGTCAGAAATGCGGTTGAGACGGTGAAAAGGCCACTACTATGGGATGAGGGAGGTTGGCAACAAGGAGACATACAGGGCTGACAAGGTGAGCAAGGATGACAGCCCTGGGAAATATGTGTGTGATGATACGGAAATGTGTTTTTTTAAGCTAATATGAGCTCATGGTTTCTTTTTTATTTATAACTAGTTTTAGATACTCGTTCAGATATTATCTTATCAGGAGGTCCATTCCACACTCTATAAGAATCAGGCCTTTAGTGTGGCAGCGCTAACCTTTTGGAACTCTCTTCCATTACGTATGAGGCAGATGCCATCTCTATTGTCTTTTTGGCACCTGTTGAAGGCTTTTCTTGTTTTAGAAAAAGGCTTCAAAGTTGATATTTTTATCTTAGTCATCAAACATTTGGAAATCTCTCCAAGATACTCTCCAGGAAGTCATCCACAAAAGAAATAAACTACTACTAGTAGTAGTACTAGCAGTAGTATATCTACTACTAATAATAAATTATGGTTACTATTACTACTGCTGATACTTCTGCTGCTTCTTCCTGGCAGATGGGGTACCACAGCTGAGTGACTCTGTGACCACCTTTTGCTATAGATTTGCAGCTTTCCATTGTAGCACTCTTCACATTACCCACATAGCTTAAGGTAAAGGTAAAGGGACCCCTGACCATTAGGTCCAGTCATGACCGACTCTGGGGTTGCGGCGCTCATCTCGCTTTACTGGCCGAGGGAGCCGGCATACAGCTTCCGGGTCATGTGGCCAGCATGACTAAGCCACTTCTGGTGAACCAGAGCAGCGCACGGAAACACCGTTTGCCTTCCCGCCGGAGCGGTACCTATTTATCTACTTGCACTTTGACGTCCTTTCGAACTGCTAGGTTGGCAGGAACAGGGACCGAGCAACAGGAACTCATCCCGTCGCGGGGATTCGAACCGCCGACCTTCTGATCGGCAAGTCCTAGGCTCTGTGGTTTAACCCACAGGGCCACCCGCGTCCCACATAGCTTATCCCTGGCTTTATCCTAGGCTCTAAAAGTTTGGCAATAGTTGAAATTATTCAGTGGCAAAACAAGGAGGAGCTAAGTGTTCTTTAGGGAAATGGAGAAAATCTTCTCTCTACTGTATATATATATATACTTTAGAAGCTGAGTCTTTAAAACAGGTCCAGGAATTGTGTGGTCCTCTTTCGGTTGTGAGGAGGTGACACTATGAACTTAGCCCCTCAGCACCACTGCTGCTTTCTGGGATGGTGCATCTGTGGGGTCCATGGAGGTTGGAGCGAGGTTGGCTCAGCCAGTGAGGTTGGCTCAACCCCATTGCACTGACACACTTGCCACTGCCATGCCATGCTCTCACATTCTCCCATGATGTGGCGGTGATGCTCTTGCCAGGTGGGTGGCCTCTGGCCCAAGCCATTTAGGGGATCCCGAGAAAAGGGAAACATTATGATTGTATGACAAAGTCTGATTAGAATGACCACCTCATTTCCACCTCATTATTTACTCAGTTATATAAGGAAAAAAGAAATGTCGCTTCCTGAATGGGAAAACACAGCTAGGAAATGATAATCTCCAGATCAGAAACAAAGAACAGTGACGGAGTAAGCCTTTAATCTTGGGAAGGGTTTATTGGTAATCTTATTACAAAATAAATAAATGGGTTCGAGCGTGCTCATATGTGTGTATCAGCAATGGAGACATTGCCTTCTGCATCCCACTTATTTCTCAATCTGCTTGAGGACTGAGTAGTTCAGAGCAAAGAGGGACTCCATAACAAAAGCAACCTCTTACAGTGAGAACACTCAGTGCTGTATTTGCAACACAGGCCAGTCAGAACTTCACTGGATGGTCTCATGCTGCTTTACTTCACCAGTCACCCACCTGCTCCACGTTTCTTGCAAATTACCAACCGATGTGACCTCTCAGAAGAGCTGACTTTTTAACTTTGCTGTCATCCTACCTACAGGATGTACCTACAGGGGACGCGGGTGGCACTGTGGGTTAAACCACAGAGCCTAGGACTTGCCAATCAGAAGGTCGGCGGTTCGAATCCCCGCGACAAGGTGAGCTCCCGTTGCTCGGTCCCTGCTCCTGCCAACCTAGCAGTTTGAAACAGCTATTATTAATAACAGCTATTATTAATCATAATAAGTCAATAGAACATCAGTTTTCAAAGGCAGTGCATCTCTCAATACCAACTGGTGGCAGGAAATGACAGGAAAGTGTTGTTGTCTTCATGCCCTGGTCACAAAGGGCAGGATTGGACCGACCTTTGGGTTTGATTGGCAAGGCTCTCCAGATGTCATGGTGAGGCATTGTGCCACCAGATCCATCACCTCCACAGAAACAGGCTGCTATGAGCTTAAAGGAAGGGGGGGAGGGAAGTGTAGTAGACCCTTCAGCAATGTGGGTTGCTGCTTCCTTCCTTCCTTCCTGGACAAATTTGCCAATATCATTTTCTCTCAGTTTCTCATTCTTCCAGTCTTTAATTCAGTTCGCCCGATTTCTGATTCCATTTGCAAACTTTTTATTTATTTATTTATTCATTTTTGTTTGTGCACATTTTTCCTAATCTACATAATTTTACAAGCAATTTCTAACAATGATAACAATAATTTCATTTACATACCACTTAATGCCAAAAATAGGCTTTCAAGCAGTTACACGTTCTATTTTCAGTAAGGTACACATTTTGTGCACACTTCCCCCTTGCATTTTCTTTTCTTTTCTTTTCTACTTTTCCTTTCTTTTCTTCACACTTGGGTTGGAGAACTGTGTTGCAAAAAAACTCCAGAGTGGTATGAATTCCAAAGGACACACCTGCATTTTTGTTACTGTCTTATTTGGGAAGTGTGACTTAGGTGGCTTCACATTAAAATACAAGCTGAAGCAATTTCTCCCTGTAAAACCTGCTTTGGAACTGAGAGCAACACTTGACTTATCTTGGATCTTATGCAGGATGCCCATCAAACT